TATCTGAGGGAACTTTGGGCTGCTCTTTCTATTTCTCTAAATCTCAGTTTTCCTTTTTATGAAATGGAGGCATTAAGAAAAACATTGCAAAGTGTAATAGAGAGTAAATCAGGTGTGATAAGCAGCATACACATGTGTTGTGCCTATTTTATGCTTTACCCATTGCTCTGGCTATCTCTTGCTCTGTAACAAATGACCCTAAAACTGAGTGACATAAGACATTTATTTTGCCTCCGGGTCTGTAATTTGGGCAGGGCTTAGCAGGGAATCGCTCGTCTCTGCTTCACTCAATTTAAGCTGCTGCAGTTTGAAGATGGGGAGCTGGAATTATTTGAAGTCTTGTTTCCTCACAGGTCTAGAGCTGCTGCTGACTGTAGGCTGGGATCTTAAGCAAGACTGTCAGCAAAACCCCTTGCATGGTCTCTTCATGTGGCTTGGACTTCCTTAAAACATGGTGGCTGGGTTCCCAGGAGGAACACATTAAGAGAGAGCATCAAGTGGAAGCAGTATTGCTTTTTAAGATGTACCCTCAGAAATCCCATAATTAGGAACAAGTCTCTAAAAGAAGGGAAATTAGACTCTATCTTTTAATGGAAGGAAGTCAAAGAATTTGCAGAATATGTTCTAGAGCCAGCATGTTTTTGTAGCAAATTGTTAATATGTGACAATGGGTTAGGTTGGGGTAGATATGAGCAGTAGGGAGGTAAAGTGAAGTCTCATTCCTATTTTGCATCGACTTTAGTGAGGTAAACATACTTACCTGTCTGACCTAGCAGCTGGGACACTGCCTACGAAGATGTTTTATTACCATAAACAGCTAAGCTATTATCTCATGTTTCAGAGGTTCCTGGAAGGGCAGTAGCAGGAATCTTTTGGTTGAAAGCAGTCAAACCTAGTTCAAACTGACCTATCTAATGAAGAAAATTTATTGGCTTATATGAATAAAAAGTCTGAGAATATACACTTCAGGCAAAGCTTGATCTAGCAGCTCAAAGATGTCTCTGAAGACCTGGTTATCCTCTGTGCTCTCACTCTGCCTTCTATGACACCAGTTGCACTTAAAGCTGGCTCTCTTTTTTTCTCCAGGATGGCTTCCATGGTTATGTGCTTCTTTGCTTGTATCCCCCCTGAGAAATGATTTTCTCCTTTGTTTTCAGCAAGCATCCTGAAATTCATTCTCATCAGGCCAGTGCCTACCCTGGGACCGATCACTAACTTGTAGGCAGGAGGACCACAGTGGTTGGCTTAGCCAAGGTTCCACTTCTGGTGCTTTCCCAGAACCATCTTGATGGGAACCAGCAGGGAAGTGTGCAAGGAATGAGTTCTGGGAACGCACCACAATTGCCATGCCGTGCCTCCCTCATCATCTTTTGTATTCTTCTGTCTTCAGCGCCTGTTTTGATAATCAGGAATCTCAAGATGGGCTTTGAGTTGAGAGTGTGAAAGTGCGGTCTTCATTCTGTTAGGGAAGGACTCAGAAGAACTGCTCCTCGGAGGCGCTGCCTCCTCCATCTGAGACTCTGCTTGGCTGCAGGAGACCGAGGCTGGACTTACACCTCATGGAAGCAGATTGTCAGCTAGAAGGGACTTAAGGGTGGCATTGCTATGGTGTGGAAACTGAGGCCAAGAGGAGAAACTTGGTCCAGGACGCAGAGTAACAGAGTTCTAATTTCCTCTGATTCACTCGTACTAACCTCCCTGACTGGAAATCTCCTCTCTCAGACTCAGTTTCTCTCTTGTAAAATGAAGCACCTTCTGTGGCTCTGGGTTCTGTGGTACAACAAGTATGAGTTAACTGGAGAGCTTTTTCCAAAATACACTGCTTGGCTCACCCAGAAATTGTGATGTACATGGAGAAAATCATGGTGGCTACAAGCATTTTGACAGCTCCTCAGGAAATGCTACAGCTTGGCCTCCCACCACTCTGCAACCATCAAGATCGGTGCCTTTTACTCTGGCACCGAGTCCTGTCCACTCAGCCTCAATCTGCAGCCCCAGAACTGAGAGAAGGGAAAGGCAACGGATGCCCAGGGAACCTTCCTCCCATGACCCAAGCACAGAAGGAAGACAAGAGACCTGGGCATGCTGGCAAAGACCCAGAGCGCAAGGCCAAACATTTGCAAGGGTACAGTTGGCCAAGCCTTACTGTCCTGGTGCCACAGGCAATGCCGTCATGCACCGAGGCCTCATGCCTGCCAGAGCCCTTTGGCTGACCAGTGTGTCCCTGCCCTCCTCACCCCCATTACAGGGCTCAGGTTCCTGGATGTTTCTGGAAGAAAAGGGCTTTAGAAGGAGGACTGGAGTTGGGGTGAACACCTCCGGGTTCCAGTCCATGTGCTGCTTTGTGTGACCCCTCAGCAACTGTGGCCCCTAGTTTCTTCCTCTGCAAAGGGGGGCTAATGGGCCCTGCCCAGCCTCCTTCCCCAAGGCACGAGAATTTCAAAGGCAGTGAAGCAATGCAGTGAAAGGACTGGGTCCACAATGCATGTTAGTCGATTATTATTATTGTTAAAACTAATAGATTGCTTCAAAGTTGGAAGCTGGAGGCTGCTGCTGATAGTAGCACTGCCAGCAAACTGCCACCTTTCAGATTGAGATGCAGATACGAAAGGCAGAGAGGAAAACGGCTCCGGGAGGCTTCTTCCTGAGACCTCTTTGTCTCCTTTTTCCCTTAGAGCCTGCAGGGAATCTGGGTGGCTTCCAGCTTACACAGCGCTACCTGACGGAAGAATGTGTACTGCCTGTGCACCTGTCTTCACCTCCAGAGAGGGACAGGAGCTGCACTGAAGGGCGGCTGTTGGCCCGGTGCCCCCTTTAACAGCATTCCTCCTCGGCTGCTGAATCTCCTGACTGTCGGGTTCCTAGTCTCCTGAGCACCCCGCCTTTTAGGTTCTTCCATGCCATCCAGCCACTCCTGGTTCTGACCCATAACATCACTTACTTGATATTCGAGATGAAGTCAACCCACTTTTTCATTCTTAAATCAATGTCTCTAACTGAAACACCACTGCCATTAAAAAACCCAAGTTGACAAGGCAAGTTGTTGTACATATAAGCACATAATTATTAAAACACCAAAGTGTGCGCATCCTCACAAAAGTGATCTCGGTCCCCTCCCGTGGTTCCCACATGTGCCTTGGACAACCCTGAGATGGCAACGCCGTCAACACTTTGGGGGCACGTGCAGGCATCAAGTCTGTGCACAGCGTGTTTACATGCAGGAGGCAGTTGACTCTGATTCAGTCCGAGCCTTGGGTGCATTTTGCCGCTGAAGCAGCCAGTGTTCAGGAAGAGATTAAGTGACTCTCCCAAGGTTCCTAGCCGGGAAGCAGTGGGATTCCAGACACACCATGCTCGGCATTTAGCGTGGTGGGCAACACGGTGGTGGCCAAGAGGGAGTGTTTGAATGAAGAAGGCAACTTCGAGGAAGTGGGGTGCTGCAGGTGAAAAAGCACAGGGTTAGAACGTAGACATAGGGGTTCTAGAATGTTTATTTGGATCAGAGAACAGTGTTCATGAGCCCTCTTCCCTCCTCCTGAGGGTGGCTTGAGGGGCTGAGGGGTGTTCAGTTTTTCTACTTTCTCTTTTTTAAAAAGAGCAGGTCTGCCCCAACCTTTTAATATTACGATTTTGAGTAAGATTTCATTTCGGGAAAGGAGAGAAATTCCTTTGCTAAAAACAGGTTTGAAGAACTCTGTTGCAGGCGGCCTTCTAGGTCTGCCCCCGATGCCTTGCCAATGGTTTTTTGACTGGAGTGTAGGTACTACCCCTTCCCAGCTGTGTGGGTTTGCATGTCAGTCATCATTCTGAGTCTTAGTGTCTTCATCTTTAAAATGGGCATAAGGAGAGAAGCACGTGTTAATGCTCAGGGTTATTAAGTGGGAGGAAGCTTGTGGATGCACCCTCAGCAGAGCAGAGGACTCTGTAGGAGTGTGTCTGTGGTGAAATCATGCTGTCGTCAACATTTCCTGAGTGGCAGCTCTGGGCTGCACTATGAATAGGTGGTGGGGTTACAAAGAGCCACCTGGCACAGAGCATAGAAGGAAATAGATAAACAAACATGGGCGCACCCTCTCCTGGGAGATAGAAAGATAAACAAGCAGTTTCAAAGCAAAAGTGATGTGTGCCTTGAGGTAAGCATGGCAGAGGGTCATCCAACCCAGCCTGGGGATGGGGGTGGCAGGAAGAGGGTGGAGGTGGCGGGAAAGTGACTCCAGCATGAGTCTTGAAGCAGAAGCAAACAACAACAGCGATACTGGATGTATACCTATATGTATATTCACTCACACAGGAGTTTAGTCACAGAGAATTAAGGCTTCTGAGCCTTAATTCCACTTCCTCTTTTGTGCAAGGCTCTCAGAGACAAAAACAAATGCAGAGAATACTATTGGGCCAACGTTATGAGCTCTGTGGAGCTTCACTTCAACTCTTTTTTGCAAACCAATGTTATTCAACTGACAAATCTGCCAGGCTCTGTCCCCCTGAGAAAACTCAGCATACTTTCAGAACCGTCATCCGTGAGAGCCCAGAGGCCCTCAGAGTGTCTCCTGCCTAACAAAATGTTTGCACAAATGAGAAAGCTGGAACCCAGATAGGGGAGGTGACTTCACCACGGCCAGGAAGCGCAGGAGTCGGGTTTGGATCTGGGAGCTCCTTGGGTAGCTGGGATCTGAGGCCTCCAGAATGGGACGTGTAGTATATGCAGGGGACACATCTGGTGTGCAGTCCCAGGCCCAGAGGTTGAGTCTATCACTGATTTCATCCCACAAAGGTTGCGTGTGTATGTCAACTAGAGCAGTGTGCTGAGGGTACAGAAATGAATAAACCACTCCCCTTGCCTGAAGTAGCTCACGGGGCAAGGATATGTAAAATGTCAATTAAAATCCATCATGCTAATTGTCAGAGAGTAACGTGCCAAGTGCTTTGGGAACAGTATTTGCATACGATGCATTGGAAGGCACAGGCTTTGAAGTCAGGCACATCTGGGTTTCAGTTGTGGCTCTGCCACTCACTGGGTGATCTTGGGCAAGTTATGGAACCCCTCTGCACCTCAGTTTCTCTATCTAGAAAATGGGAAGAATACAAACCTACCTGTCAGCATTGGTGAGTGAGGAGCATACCATTGAGATACCAGTGGAAAAGTAGTTCGATAAGCAAAGGCTAGCAGCAGCGTCAACTGCAAGAACTTAGTCAAGACATTCAACTTCTCCAAGCCTCCAGGAGCTCTGAACGTTCTCATCCGTATGTGGGGTGATGGAAGTGAAATGCACTTTGTAAAACTGACATGTTAGCAATTGGTAGTTATCACTCTTAGGATTCTTAGCCAGTCCTAATTAGGACAGAGAAGACAGAGCAGTAGGCTGGTTTGCCGAAGTCCAGTGAGTAACAATGGGCCAGAAGCCAGGACGGCCTCTCCAGTTTTGTGCCCTTCTCACCCACTGCCCTCCAGACGTTGTCCTCCCATCATCTGGAACCTGGGTGTATTCCGGACCAGAATCTGTGGATCCTGGGTTCAGCTTCTTTGCCTATTAGCAAAGTCCTTCTGCTGGAGGGGGGCACTTGCCATCAGGCCTGAGAAAGAAGTCAGGCGTGCTTGGAATGCAATTGCAAAAGAGGTTACAAGAGCCTGGCGAGAATGCTGAAATCAAGTGATGTCGAGAGGTTTTGTTATTTTTGAAAAAGTGACTCATTCTGAGAAACCCTAACGGCCTCACGGAACATTCACCTAGTTGCTTGTATGTACAACCCAGAGCCCACTGCAGAGAAAAACAAACCCTGCTGTCACAGCTGAAGGAGGGGGTGATGGCTGGCGTGGAATTAGGGATGACAGGTCGACAGTTCCATGAGGAAGAGTGGGAAGGTAAATCCTGCCCTCTGAATACCCTGTTTTAATTTCCAAGTCCTTTTTCCTAAACTTTCCCATTCAAACTATTACAAAAACACCCAGGGGAGGTAACATGTACCCTTTGGAATGACCTGAGCTGGCCAGGGGAGGTAAGGTTATTCCCATTTGACATGCAAATGAAGTAAATACCCAGAGAGCTTAAGCTATTTCCCAAGATGAGAGAGAGAGAAGAGGGGAAGGGAAGTAGGGAGGAGGGCTGGAGGGAAGGCTAGGGAGAGAGAAGGAAGAAAAGACAAAAAGGAAGAAACGAGAAGCCCATAAATGAGAACCGCAATAAGAGTCTTGAGGAACAGTGAGAAGGGCTGGTTTGAGCGAAGGCTTCGGTGGGCCTCCTCACTGTGGGATGCTCAGGAGTTAGGAGGCGGGCTCTAGGCTTGCCTCCGACCCTGGGCCAAATGTGTGACTTCAGGGAAATAGGTCACTTCACCGAGTCTCCTCACTTGCCATCTGCAAAGGTATGGGACGTGGAGGAATAGAATAGATTCAGAGCTTTTAAAATTTAGTAGGCATGAAAACATTCTGGAAAATTTGTTACAATACAGATTGCTGGGCCCTACCCCAGAAATTCTGATTCTGAAGTTCTGACAGGGGCCAGGGAATCTGCATTTCTGACAAGCTCCCAGGTGGAGCTGCTGCAGCCGGTCATGGACCCCACCTTGGGTACCCAGGAGCTGACGATGTGCCTACTGTTTCTGCCACTCAGTGATTCCAAAAACTCAACAGCTCCCAGTCATCAAGAGCTGTGCCAGGGGCTGGAATGGGAAATGAACAAGGCATGGTTTCTGCCGTTTTGGTCTAGCAGTCTAGGTGAGGAAATGGAAAAGACAAGGAACCCCATTCTCACACAGGGTACACAGGGACGCGCAGAGGTGGGAGTGGCCGGTTGCCTGTGCGAAGTCAGGTAGCGCTTCCAGGTAGAGGTGAGTCTTTGGGCCCAAGTTGTCACTATCCAGGAGGCAAGTTTTGGGCAGAGGGCGGTGCAGGCCATTTTGAATAGCTCAGAGAAGGCGTTGGCTAAGGGCTCACTGTGTGCCGTATGGTGCTGGTGCTGCTCAGAGAGACCTGCCAGCATAGCTACAGCTGTTCCCCAGCTCCCCGGAGGGCCCTGCAGAGACCAGGGGAGGGAGCTCCTGATGGGCCGGCGTCCCTGGGGACCACAGCCAAGTGTGTGTGTGTATTATAGATGTAATATACTTATTGTAATCTAGATCTAATATATAATATATATATAATTACATGTACACACACTATATACATATGCACACACACAGTTGGTTCTCATATTCCAAGATTCCATATTTGGTGAATTTGCCTACTTGCTAATCTTTGCTTGAAACCCCCCAATTGATGCCTGCGGCCCTTTCCTGCACAGACATGTGCAGAGCCGTGCAAAAATCTGACTCATCCTTCCAACCCTTACCTGCCCAGCTGAATGATGCTCTGCCTTCTCATTTCAGCTGCTGTACTGTAACCCAGGGTCCCTTTTGTGGTCTATTTAGTGTCATGTTTTGAGCTTTTTTGGGTGATTCTGCTGTTTACAATGGCCCGTGAGCATGGCAGCTTAGTGCTGTCCAGTGTTTCTGAATACAGAAGGCCGTGAGGTGCCTCGGGGAGAAAGAAGTAAGCTTCTTTCAGGCATGAGCTGTGCAGCTGGTTGGCTGTGAGTTCAATGTTAGTGAATCAAAAATATACATTAAGTAAGTTGCCTATAAAAGGAAACACATAAAACCAGGTTATGTTTGGATCAGTTGATTAAAGTGTTGTGACCAGAGGTTCACGGCAACTTTACAGGATGTAACTACCACGAATAATGAGAACTGACATGTCTGTGTGTGTGTGTGTGTGTGTGTGTGTGTGATTAACCCACTGTCAACTATTTCTGTTGCTCAGTATTACCCTGATAATTCAGAGTTGCAGCAAGAGTTTATAAAACCTAAACACCTAGACAAACTTTGGATGCTTTCTTACTAATCCTGTCTGGTAGCTATCCTATTCCAAGTTAACCATCCTGTCTTCTGCCTCCTTTTGAGCAAAAGGCTTTTCTCTACTCACCCTGAATTCTCCTTAATTTCCATATTCGCTTGAATTGACAACATTTTACCAACTTGGTTTTGATACAAATTTATATCTAGCATATGGTGTCACAGGTGATGTCAGTATGGATATAAGACACTTTTAAACTGCAGATTATTTTGGTTTGGCCACCATGACTCTGACACCAATTCTGATGTGTGTGTTTTTTTTCAATATCACCAAGCAATTCTCTGAGACACCAGCTGGGTGCCCTGCAATCTAATTGAATTCTGACACCCTCTACGTTTCTCTGAGGTGCCACCAGATCCCACTGGTGAAGGGCTCAGTCCCACACGTCCGCCATCCTCCTCAGTTGCCAATGGCATGTCCAGGCTGTTACTTGTGCTTCTGAGTGACTGGCTATAAGTCAGAGGTTCCCATGACCTCCTCCTTGGGTTTGATTAATTTGCTAGAGCAGCTCCCAGAGTCCCAGAGCTCAGGAAACCAGATTACGCACTAGATTACCAGTGTATTGCAAAGGATATTTAAGGATACGAATCCACAGCCAGATGAAGAGATGCATAACGTGAGGTTGCAGATCCTGTGGACTTTGGGGGCCAGCACCTGTGGTATGGGGGTGCGTTTTCGTTCACCAACCCATAAGCTCTCAACACCCTGTCCTCTTGCGTTTTTATGGAGGCTGCATTACGCAGGCATGGTTGCTGAAGTCTTTAGTCATTGGTGGTAGAACTCAGTCTCCAGCTCCTGTCCCCTCCCGGAGGTTGCAGGTTGGACAATGGGGCTGAAAGTTCTACCCCAGGATCGCATCCCCTGGCAAGCAGCCCCCACCCTTAGGTGACCTGGGAGCTTTCCAAAAGTTGCCTCATTTAACATAACAAAAGACGCCTTGATCACTCTCTTAAGAAATGTTTAAGGCGTTCAGGAGTTTACATCAGGACCCAGGATGAAGGCCAAATGCGGATATTTCTTCCTATAAATCATAATCTCATTTGTACTACTTCATTCTTGTACTTGGTAGACTGACTGAATTTTTGCTAGTGGAGGGGAGGTGGTGTATAGGCTTGAGATTTCCTTCGGGACCAGTGTGGGGGCAGGGAAACTGAGGTGAGTGACAGCCCAAGCAGAGGCAAATGGGCTGTGGCCAAGTTGGGCTTTGGGCCCTCACAGGCTAAGGCAGGAGGCCCTGCTCAGCAGACCTTGCCACCCTCCTCCTTACGTCTGAGTCCAGCCCTCACCTGTCCCCTAGGTCATGCCAGACTGATTTCTGGGAAGTGTGCTGGGAACACAGAAAGGCCTGGTTGGGTTCGACTTGGCTGTGATTTTCCTGGGACCCAGGGCTGAAGGGCTCTGCTGTCTTTCTGGATGACAGTCCCTGCCTCCCATGGGAGGGCCTCACCGATGGAGTCTCCCGGTGCTCCTAGGCCTCTGACTCCTCCCCGGGGTCCTCAGGGCCCTTGCTGGCCAGTGGGGCAGAGGGAGCCTGAGGCTGAAGCCAGGCGGCTGGCTGCCCTCCCACATAAACACGGTTGGTCGCTGTAGATTGTTTACCCGCCGTAAGGGGCTGGACAGGTTTGTCGACTGGGTACATTCATGAGAACCCTGTGGGTCCCATGTTGACCCAGGTTCCTGGGGTGGGAGAGTGCTGCAGGGGGCTGCTTCCTTCTGCTTAGGATCCCTTGGTGAGAAAGCTGCTGCAGCCCAGCTCCTCCAGCCACAAGCTCAACTCCTGTGCTCGGCCCTCAAGGCCTCTTCCCAGATTCAGCTCTCATGTGCCCTGGGCTTCAGGCACCACAACTTTTTGCTGTTCTTTGCAAACCTCCAGGCCTCTGTATCATGTGCTCTTTCTCCTGCCTGGAATCCCTTCTCTTTAAGTCACAGCTCAGATGTCACCTCCTCTGCCTGGCCACCCCGCTCCCCTACTGGAGGGTGAGCGAGCTCCTTCCTTGCGCTCCTGTGGTTTAGGGCTATACAGCCAGCCTGGTGGTCTGTGGTCTGACCTCAGACACCAGCTGCACCCCCTGTGAAGGTATCTTGTGCTCCCCCAAGTTGAACCTGGAGACAACGGTGGTGTCTCCCTAAAGCTCTGTGTAGAAGATGGTCTATACAGCCAGCATTACGTGGTGCTTGGCACAGCACTTGAACCATGCCACAGATGCTATGTCTTCTTTATTACTATTAGTAGTATAGCACTTATATCCCACTGCTGTAATCACTTCATTCATAAGCCTCACTTTTCCTAGACTCTGACCTATTGGAGTGCGGGGCCCAGGTCTGACTCATCTCTAAACCATCTGCTTCTAGCCCAGTGCCTGCCACGTAATAGGTGTCCAGTAGAAAGTATATATGCGGTAGTTGCAAGTGTGTATGGGATCCAACATTTACTGAATGCTGATTATCTGCCAGACCATGTTCCAAGTCCCTTACAGGACTTAACTCTTTTAATACAATGGTCCTATGTGATACCTATTGTTAGTATATTCATTTAACACATGGGGAAACCAGAGGGAAAAATAAGGTTACCTCTCTGCTGAGCCCTAGAGTTGAGAATCAAACTGGTGAGGTTCAAACCTCACTTGTTGCACTGCTTCTCACAGTGTAACAGTAGCAGGATAGCGCAGTGTTGAGGGGTAATGACCCCTCCTTGGACAGTCACAGAGTAGGTGTTTAGTGGACACAGAGTAGGTGTTTAGTGAACGCTGAATAAGTGTACGTGTTTGGGGCCTTGGTGCTTGTACGGTGCAGGCGGATGACTGCTGTACTGAGTATGCCTCTGGAGCTCAGTGAACAGATCCACAACATCCGTAGGGGACAGTGGAGGGGAGCCGATGAGGTGGGCAGGGCCTTTGCACCTGCTGGTGCTGTTGCCTGGGACGGCCTTCCTTCTCCTCATCCTTCCTGCCTCAGATGACACGTGCTTTCCTCAGTGACCCCTCCTTGGACAGTCCTCTGGCTCATCGCTGTCCCTGCACCCTGCGCCCTGCTCATTGGTTCTTGAGCACTCCCCAGAATCCTTAGTGAAAGGAAGCAGGAGAGGGAACTAACGATTCTTGAATACCCACAGTATGCCCGGGGGCTGTGCTCTCCTGCTGACAAACACTATTGAACTAATTTTCCCAAACTTCCAGAGGTGTTGGTATTATTATCCTCATTTTGCAGACTACAAAAGAGGCCCCAAGAAGGCAAATGCCTTTGCCCAAGGTCACCAGCTGGAAAGTGGTGGCACCGGACTGGACTTGGAATTCAGGGCCCGCTGCCCCGCCACCCAACACCCTTGGCTCTTTCTGGCATCGGGAGAGGCCAAGTAGGCAAGAAAGGAAATGGAATAACTCGTTTACTGCCCCAGGCATTTTCAGAACAAGTAAGTGATTTCCCTAATTCCCAGTGTGCTGTTAATAGAGAAACTTGGCAGCTGGAAACCTGGCTGCAGAAAAACAGGTTTTCTCCCTAACTCAGCAGCACCACTTGCAGGATATCAGGGAACACTGCAAAATGATCCGGAGCCGAGTGCTCCTCTCTGATGGAGAAGGGCTCCCGAACGAGGGACCTGGGACACCGTCTGATGACCTTTCATCTGAAAAGGTTGCTCATCGAGTCGGAGGAGGGAGCCTGTGGGAAGCCTCAGCATTAGCGATGGCAGGATGAGGCTCCACCGGTTCTGATTCCCGGCTGAGTAGTCCTTCCCTTCCCCTTCCCTTTTCTTCCTTTTCTCCCTCCCCAGTTCTTCCATTCAATAAATATTGATTGAGCACCTCCTATATCTTGGGCATATTCCTTCTTGGTAGTTACAAGTATCAATAGCTAAAATTTGCCTTTTGGGATTATTGTGTCTGTTAATTGCCATTAACGACATACTTCATCATTACAGCCAAGGTATATTAACCATTACTATGTATCAGGCTCTATACTAAGGCATTACCTCAACTGATGGTCCCAGATGAGGAAATTAAGGTTTAGAGAGGTTTGGGAATGTGCCCAGCATGGTTCAGTCAGCGGTGAAGCTGGGGTTCAAACCCAGATCCTTCTGACCCCAGAGCCAGAGATCTTAACTATTATGTTATACTTACTCTTTAAAGGTCCTCAGGTAAGTTCAGGAAATATCTATACTCTAATTAGGAGTGTGTTCTTATTTCAAATAATTACTTATTTCCTGTCTATGAGTGGTGCTTTCTTCTCAAATTCATGGCTGGATGTTAAGGACACAGAAGTGACTCTAATTTCGACAGGAGCTCATGGCCTTGCAGGTGTTAGCCTTAATACAAGGCAATTGGCAAGATGTGTTCTAATAAAACAGCCTGCACAACTCCAGGGGGTGGCACTCACAGTGCAGCCGATGAGAATAGCATCTCCCGAGTTGTGCAGTGCACTGCCTGTGTGGCCATATATGGCGGCCTCCACCCAGTGGGGCAGGGGCAAGAGGTAAGGGATAGGGAACCCTGCTTCTGCCTCTGCAGGGTAGGGAAGCTTCACAGCAAAGGGCGCTGGAGTGTAAATGCTGCCAAAGCCATACAGACTGATTTCCTGTCCTTGTCAACTGGGAGGCAGTGTCAAGGTTTGAGGAAATAGGTCTCTGTGTTTCAAACTGCAAAGCATAAAAAACATTTCAGTTTCCATTTTGCATTAGCTTTCAAGTTATGTTTTGTTTTAAGTTCCCAAGAATTTTGATCTCATTCTAATTTTTGTGTGGATGAGTAGTTCTCTCTTTTGGGGTGTTTGATTCCTCAAACTGGAGCCCACCAACTGCAGGTGGCAGGTCTAAAACCAGAGTGATGTGGGCAACCTTGCAGACGTTTGCAGAATTCTCTGCCAAAACCAGAGGGGAATGAATCCACTGCTGCCCCAGAGAATTAATTTACTGCGCAGAAAACAGCTCTTCCCTTTCCCACCTTTTCCCTAATGCTCCTCATCATCTACGAGCACCTGGTGTGTGCATGTGCAAATTTTACTTAGTTTCTCTTATAGTATGGAAACAAAAGGACTTATTTTTTCATTTTCTAATCGTAAAATTATTCTATGATGACTTTTCCCCATAGCCCCCCTGAAGATGCTAATTCGGACCCCTCTAGGGAGGTCATGGTCTTGGGTGACAATTGTAGGACAGGGTTGGCACCTAGGGAGCAAAGATGTAAAGGACAAAAAGGCCCAGCACCACCCCCCTGGGAGCTCCTGGTCTGTTTGTTGCCGGCCCTGTCACCATAGGAACGAACACTGTGGGACAAGGATAATGGTGATGAGGAGGGTCTCCTTACAGAAGGAAAGCCAGCGGTCCCCCCAGCAGCCCCGCGTCATAGCAGAGCAAGAGGAACGCTGGCCAGTGTGGCACAGAGAGATGGGGAGAGGGCCCTGTTCCGCTCTGCTGCCTCTTGATTCCTTACTGATCCCGAGGAGGAAGGTCCTGTCCTTTCCCATGTTGTGTGTTAAATAGGCATTCGAGAGCCAGTCTGGGAGAGCAGTCAGCCAAGAAAACCTTGTTTCTATGGGAAAATGGGTTCTAAGGCCCAAACAATTGTCTTAGCAATCAACTATGGGAACATAGCCCTTTGTGAAGTTGAGAAACTGCCTTTCATCCTTGAAAAGTTCATCTTGTGAAAAGCACTATGAACTGGGAATCCAAGCAGCTGAGTCCCAGCTGGCCCCTGCCAGCTATGCCCTGATCTTGGGCAGGTCACATCATTTCCCTCTCTGGTGCCTCGCCTGTGGAACAGGGGCTGGACCAGATGAATTCCCATGTTCGTCTGGAGTCTGAGTCTTTGGGACTTTGAGTCCCTTTGTTACGTGAGTTTCAATTCTAGCACATTATTGCATTTCTTGCTAAATGGAGTGTTCCTTTGGCCTGGGGCTCATTGGCTCCAAGTTCTTTAGTCATTCTGGTTCCTGGCTGGGCTCAGACAATGGGAGGCAGTGGACTATTATTGAAGGAAGCCAGGAGAGAAGAAGGCAGGGTGTCTCTGGCCGAGGTTGCACTTCTTGCTTGACTCTGGCTTCCACCAAGGTTCCACCAAGGCATAGGGTGACCTCATGCCTTGGGTTCCTAAGCTCCTGCCGCTTTCCTCTCTCCGTCCTGCTAAGGAGGGGCGGGGACCTCCTGCTATTAGTAATCTCTGGGTTGCCTCATTATTTCCCTGTGGCCTCTTCAGCCCTTCTATCACCTGTATAACCCATTCCCCATGTTAATTCTCCCTGTTCCAAATACTTAGCGTGGTTTCTCTTGGTTGGACTTTGAGACATTCACACTTCTGTTGGTTTTATCTTATAACAGCCAGAAAAAAAGATGATGATGATAATGTTGATGATTATAACCCCTTACTTGGTATATAACCTCACATATTATAAAGCTTTCACTCAGGTTCTGTAATTTGAGTCTCATAATAACAGGATGATGTCAGAAGGGCATTTATCATTCATTCCACTTTACAGAAGAGGAAATGATCTCATTGAGCTCACACAGCTGGTGGGTCTTGATAGAGTTGGAGCCAGAACCCAAGGCTCTTGATTTCTCATCTAGTTTTCGTCCCCAAGTTGTCCTTCTGCTTTTCATCATTATCCCCTTACCCTGCTGGAATGGTGCCTTAATGCTGTTCATTCAGGATGGTGTTTTCTAAAGTGGGAGGCACAAACCATCAGTCGAGGGTGTATTAGTATTCTATTGCTGTGTAACAAATTACCCAACACTTAGTGGTTTAAACAGTATCATTTATTATTTTGGAAATGGTCTATACATACATTGGTGCTTTCTCCTATCCCATATTTTCTGGGTTGATTGTTCACTCAGAATTTAAGGTGTGGGTTCATGTTGCGAAGGCTTTGACGTTGTACTTGCCAATATTTGAGATGGGGTCTGGCTTCATGTGTTGAGGAGGAAGGCAGCTGTCCAGAGCTGAACACAGTCTTCTGCCCTTGGCAGACCCTGCAATAAAGCTGCCTCTAGCCAAGGGACAAGGCCAAGACAGTGAAGTATAAACATATTTGTACTAAAATCATTAAATAGGAAAGACCACTGTGTCCTTCGGCCCATCCATATTCTTCACTGGGTGTCTAGTGTATAACATCAAGCTAGAGGGCAAGGGGGATCCCTGTACTGCAGGGACTTTCAATAATGTAAAGAGGAAAAATATTTTATATTTCTGCATCCACAGGGACCTCAGCCTTTGGGGATGACCAGGGACATCATATCCATCGCACCCTCCACTTTGTCAATCATCAGTAAATATTTATGCTCACCTGGTGCTAGTCTCTTACCCTACTGGCTAGGATTCCCTGCCAAGGACCTCATCTCAGTTACTTCTGGAAGTCCCAGGGAGTGGCTCATGTGTGCATATAAACTCTGTCCTTCTGGCTCCAGTGCAGAGTTTGCTCTTCTTCTTCTCAGCTCCAGCTTTCTGCCCTGATGCCTGCAGCCAAGCTTTGGAGGTCCTTGCCAGGGCTGTGTGGCCACAGTATGTTGAGGCTACTATCTCCATCTGGCATCGCACTGTGTTCCACCTGTCTCTTTGCATCATGTCTGCTTACATATGCCCCAAGCAGTGCCACCTGGCCTCTCAGTAGCTCATGGGCATTTTAATGAAATAATCCTATTTTTTTTGGTCTTCTTCTGTTTCAACCTCTACCCTCACAGGTACTGGTACAAACTCCAAGGCAGATGTAAAGAGGCATTTCAGGAGACTTCTGAGCCATTGCACTCCAGTTGTCCTTCTAGTTTTCACCAGTAGCCCGCATACCCTATGGGAAGAATGTCCTAACACTCTTCATTTAGGATGATGTTTTCTAAAGTCTGGGACAAACCACTGTCAAGGGCATATTCATTATCTATTACTGTGTAACAAATTGCTCTAAAAATTAATGTCTTAAAATGGCATCATTTAGTATCGCACAATGTTTCTGGCTCAGCAGTCCAGGAGAGACTTCCCTGGGTCCTCTGGCTCGGGTCACTCACGTGGCTGGGGTCATCTCAAGCCTTGACTGGGAGGGCGCTGCTTTCTAGCTCATGCATGTGGTTGTTGGCAGGATGCAGTTTCTGGCTGGCCGTTGGGCCTCACTGCCTCAGGAGATGTTCTCTGGAAGCTTCCCTTGGTTACTTGCCATGCGGGCCCCTCCACAGAGGCTCTTACAACAAGACACTGACTTCTTCATCGTCCTGAACATATGAGACAGCAAGTGAGGATGCAAATAAGACAGAAGCCACAGTATTTTGTAACCCAGTCTTGGAAGTAACATCCAGTACTTTAGCCCAATTCTATTAATTACAAGCGAGTAACTAGGTTCAGCCAACGCTCAGGAGGGGAATTATACACGGGTTGAATAACAGGAGATAAGAATCACTGGGGTCCTTCTGAGAGGCTGTGTACCATGGGCAGTGGGATGTAGGGGGTGAAATGAATTTCAATATTATGCAAATCATGACTGAAAACATTTAGTCATTAGCCATTTATTTTAAAGTGTGGTTGGGAAAATGTAACTGGATGTTATTGCTGAGGAAGAGGCTAAGTTAAAAAAAGGAGGCAATTAAAAGAAGAATATGAGGGACAGTTGGTTTTCAAAATTGATTGCCAGCAGGAACTATGATTCGCTCCTAACCAATGGGACATGGCAAAGCCGATAGGATGTTACTCTCATGATTAAGTTATATCATGTAAGACTCGGTCATACCGGAGATTTTTCTTGCGAGCTTGATGGAGTAAGTAAGGACCTGTGGGTGGGTGGCATTTAGGATTGGAGGACAGTTTCTAGCTGACGGCCAGCAAAAAG